GTGATTAATTTCAGTCTCTGAGTTTGTAAGGCCCCTTGTGCAGGCATCTCCTGAGCGTCTCAGGTTTGGTATGTGGTCTCTTTTTATCCAGATTTAACCATATCTTTTTGTTTTCTGTAATTCTGATGCTTTGACATGTGGAGAATTGCTGACTGTGGATCTACTACCCTCCTCTTGTTAGTTAATTCTTAGAGCAAACAACTCTCTTTTCACATGCAAAGCAAGCAGTTGGTGATCCCAACCTCCCTCTTTATCATCTCTCACATTCCAAGCTACTATTACCGGCCCTAATCACACCAGGGCCACATACCAACACAATCAGGGCACACGGAAATTATTCAACCTAACCAATCCCAATTTACCCTGCCTCTCTTTCTTCCCCACAAAATCACAAGGCTTCAGCCCGCTAGTTACCTTTATCTTTACCTGAGATCAACGTCAGTGTTCTCTCCTGTGGCCCTGAATGGTGCTGGTCTTGGGAACTGTGAGTAAGAAACTTAATTTTTCAACGACAATTATCTCTTGATCTGTTGGCCTTCCTAAACCTCATTTTCTTATTAGTATACTGTTTTAAAATACACTCCCATGAAAATAGCAGATTTTTAGTGTGTGCTACTAAAGTTAATACAGAAAAATAATCAAGTGAAAATAACCATGAAAATTCTGAAAAGAAACATAGGTAGGGTAGTGGGGAAGAGGGGATCGATGGCGTGGCTGATGGAGGGTGGGGAGACAGAGATGGCATAATGAGCTATGAAATGGTTTTATGTATGTAGTGGGTACAAATTTCAGCCAATAGGAATCAAGTGTAAAAGAAATATTTATTTTTAGTTAACTTAATTTTAATTTTGACCTCCCTTGGCCAGGGTGAAAACGAAATTCAGTCATGTCAGCACCTTGTACCCCCGACCCCCATTTCCCACACGGCTCTAAGAATTGTTGGGCTTACATATTACACAGGCATCAGGGGTGGGCTTCTGAGACTTGCTGGCTCATCTCTTCACCCTACATCCTTGTTTGCAGTTGTCTGCTGCAACTTTTGTGACATAGTCATGCGCCAAATATGTTACCAGTTCAAGGTTTGTGTGCCCAATGCTTCAAAAGGCCAATATTCAAAATATCAGAGTTGGGAGTAAGAAAAATTTATTGATCGAGAAAGCATCAGCTCAAGAAGATGGGGCCTTAAAGATTCCTCAAATCCTTCTTAAGAGAGCCCAGAATTCAGGCTTCTTTTTATACCAAGAGAAGGGAGAATGGGCGGGGCCAGAGTTGTATGTCACCTCGGCACCAACAGGGATCCAAGGAAGAGTGCAAAATCTCTAAATCTCTTTGTTCCCAAAAGTTTATTGATCGAGAAAGCATCAGTTCAAGACGATGGGGCCTTAAAGATTCCTCAAATCCTTCTTAAGAGAGCCCAGAATTCAGGCTTCTTTTTATACCAAGAGAAGGGAGAATGGGCGGGGCCAGAGTTGTATGTCACCTCGGCACCAACAGGGATCCAAGGAAGAGTGCAAAATCTCTAAATCTCTTTGTTCCCAAGTCCTCTGACCCTTGCCGATCTGTGTCCAGTCTTCAGGCTCCTGCAAACCTTTGCCAAACCTCAAGCCTGAAGAATTCCTCTAATATCTATAGCAGGAGTTATTTGCCAAGGGAGAAATACAGGCCAGAATTATGACAGTCTGAGAGAGCGAGCGTGTTACTCTGTTACAGACATCTCCGTCAATGACTGACTGTATATGTGGTGACAGTCCCATAAGATTTGAATGCAGCTGAAAAATTCCTATCACCTAGTGACTTGTAGTACAATGTATCACTGTTTTGTACAGGTCTCAGCCTTTTAGTAATGCTATCAGCTAGAAACGCCTGGGGGGCACTCATCTGGGCGCTGGTGAGCTCACGGACAGCTTTCTAAATCAAGGTTACAACTGCAGCGACCCTTTGGTTCTTATTAGGAACTCTAAACACCGTGAGTAGTGACAGAGGTACATACGGTGCTGTAGGAGCACTGAGAGGGAGGACTGCTTCTAGGAAAAGGTGACTTTTGAGCTGGACGTCGAAACATAGGGCTGACTCCACGCGGCAAAAAATGGGTGGGAGTGCACGGAGCACTGCAGTGGAGACGGCCCAAGTAAAGCTCCTGCTAAAGTGAAACTAGGTCTGATTTCCTGAGCCCACACTGACTGGCGGAGTGAAGAGGCAATTCCCAGGAACATGCTGGGACCAGGGAATGAGCCTCAGAACGAACCATGTGGCTGCAGATTAACCACTCTACAGAGCTGGCCCTAGTGACCACTGGAGAGAAGGACAGAAATCGTGGACGGGACGATCTCTGTAGATATTTCCAGGCCTGAGTCAAAATTTAATATGTTCCCTTCAAACTTTGAAACTGGAGAGCCAGGGATTTCTACATGTGTCTTTTTCTGCTCCCTAATTGAAAGGGTAACCTTACAACCTGGATTTCTCATGGGTTCTCATGGATTTCTCATCGCCCCTCTTCTAGAAGAAAAGGCCTTGGAGAGGAGGGAAGGTCTAAAATAATCTAGTGAAAAACAAGAAATGCAGGCAGTCTTGCCTGTCAGATCTGAATCCATGCTGTACTTTTATCTGTACCTTATCCACAAGAGGAATTCACAGAATCTCTTCCTTTATTCATACTATTCCATCATTCAGATTAGTATCAGCAAACACAACTAGAAAACACCAGATGATTCCAACTTCAGAGTCAGTGTTATCTGGTTTTCTCAGACATAATTCCTACCTGGAATTTAACTGGTTTCCAAATTTCTTATACATTCATGTGAAATTCTATCCTAGTCACTCTAAGTTTGCATTTTAGTCATGCGCCACTTCTTTATTTAAATGCCGTTTTCCCACTACCTGAAAACAGTAAAGAAACAGTAATATTTTTGGACTGAATATTATTTTCATTTTCTTTCAGTGTTCAAAAAGTCCTATTATTTCTTTGTAACAGATCTGAGACTTTTTTCCCTAGGGAAAATATACTCATTCCATATAAGCTAAGCTACTTCAAAGGTGTATGTTGAAATAATCATAGAAAATATACACTGAGTTATTTCCAACCATCATGAATTCTCATTCAACTATTATTTAGTGAACCCTGGCAGAACAGGTGGCTCTGTAAGGAAGTAAAAACACAGCCCCTGTTTTCCAAGAAATGACTAATCTACTTGGGGAAATAAGACCCACTTACTCTAAGAGTGAAACCACACTGTTAAACAGGATGGAACTCTAGCCAGTGTGCCCTTCTCTACGGTCACATCTTTCTCACACACCGTGGCATTTCTTGAGTGCCTTCACATGCCAGGCACTGGGGTAGGAGCTTCTGGATAGCTTTCTGAATCCCCTAACAACCCCATAAAGTATGAAAGATTTTATAAAGAATATTAGCAGAGAAACTAACCCTAAGAAGTCATTTCCCTCCCTGGATTCTTAGTTTTCATAAATCAAGAAAACAGTCACAATATTTCAAAGTTCAGTTTTTATGAGGCACTTGAGTAGTCAACATACTAGGATCACGTAAGATTGTTTTTTACACTAAGGGGTACAAAATGTTTTATCAAAGGAAATTTTGACTATCAACCAATAGAATCATTTTAGAGGGACTTAGTCAATATCTTATCCTTCTATAGAAAAAATCCTATTAGGAGACTAATTGCAAGGTCACTTTTATAAAATAAGCAATCAATAGTCATCAAAGTGCTACTAGACGAGTCTGGTTTTTATATTCTCAGACTGACCTCTGCTGGACAGTCTATTAACCTGACTTTTTTTTTTTCTCTTGAGAGAACGTAGCTAGGGAAGGAGCATTTTCCCCAAATTATATCCAATATTTAGATTTATATACTTCAATTCTCAAATACTCATCAAGCCCTCCATACTACCTTACAGCAAAATCGTGTATTGCACTTGGCTGCCAGAGGCAAACGTCCATGAGCAGAGTAGGACACTGATGGGGTTATATGAGCTACCCATTATCAATGTTTCTTTTGATATTGTGTGCTCTTAGGCAGCCAGGCTCTCTGGTGTGTATCTTAGAGATATTTAAGAGTACCTGCTGATTGGGTCCCATTTCAGGGGCCTGTCAGGTAAAACTACAGCTCCCTGAAAGTACCTCCTGGGTGCACATCTCACCACTGGAATCCACTACTTTGTGGAGGTCACGCATGCCTCTAACTAGCCAATGGAGACGAGTCTGATACGTATGGTGCAAAGTGAACTCTAATATAAAGTCCTATGTTCCCATTCATATAAAATTGCAGAAAATGAACATCAAGAATGACCCTGAAAATCATCAGTACTTTTCCATTTCCAATATTCTTTTTAAATAGAGGCATATCTCAGAGATATTGCAGGTTCAGGTCCAGAGCACTGCAGTAAAGCAAGTATCACAATAAAGTGAGTCGCTCAAATGTTTTGGTTTCCCAGAGCATACAAAAGTTCTGTTTACGCTCTCCTGTAGCCTATTAAGTGTGAGATAGCATTACGCCTAAAATAAAAAACGTACATACCTTAATTTAAAATACTTTATTGCTAAAAACCGCTAACCATCATCTGAACCTTCAGCGTGTCTTAATCTTTGCTAGTGGAAGGTCTTAAAATGCAGCATCTGAGTTATTTCCAACCATCATGAATTCTCATTCAACTATTATTTAGTGAACCCTGGCAGAGCAGGTGGCTCTGTAAGGAAGTACAATAGAGCAAAGTGTGATCAAATGGGGGCATGCCTGCAATGTCTGTTTCTAGTCATAAAAATTACAAAATTATTTGAAAATTTTGTAAAAGGAAAAAAAATGAAAAAGAAATAAAAATTACCTATAATCTCATCACCAAGTTACGTTAAAATTTTGGTTTATTTTGTTCCTGTCTTCTTCCTCCTTGTATGTGTGTGCACGCGTACAGGTGTGTCTCTTGACTTGGACCCAACCATTTTGTAGCTTCCCTTTTTCACGTAATAGTCTATGGTGATTATTTTTCGTTAATAATTGTAACACAATTTTTATTTTATGATGTTGCCAGATCGTAATGTATACAACCAAGATCTTACTATGAAACACTGGGGTTGTTCCTAAAATTAACGCTGAATGGTCTTATACATACATATGTGACCAAGTATTTTATTATTTCTTTAGAATACATTCTCTAGACAGGCTTACTAGGTCAAAGTTATAGGGTATGAACATTTTTAAGATTCCAAAACAAGCACTGCTAGAATTATTCTACAGAAATATAGCACCAGTTTCCACTTCCGCCATAGCACAGCAGTGCCCGTTTCACTTCACCCTCACACACGCTGAGAATTATAACTTAAAAAGTGCTTTGCCGCATCAATAGGTAAAAATACGGTTTTCCAGTCTAACATATTCATTACTCATGATCATAATTTTATTGGCCATTTGTATTTTTCCTGTTAATTATACATTCATGCCCTTTGCTCATTGTTGTATAGTACACTAATATTTTTATTTATAAGCGTTCTTTATATATTAAGGCTGTTGACTCTGTTGGTCTCAATGTGGTACACACAAACTAAGGTTGCTAATTCAAATATGCCCTAAAATTATTAGTTTGGGTGTGACTTTTCCTTTGGCTCAATAAGTTCTCTCCAGAAAAACAAAAAAAAAAAACAAACAAAACCCCAACTCAAAAAGTATAGAACATCCCCCACTAAATACTGGGGAGACTAAAGTACAAAGTAGTTAACAAATAAACTATGAAGTAGAAATAGCCTGTGTACTCTGACTTACTGAACATGCCTCTACATTACAAAATTCTTGGAGCTTTTTTCTTCAGATGTTTTTAAAAGATATGTCACTTTAAGAATGTATGTATCAAAAGGATACTGATGTTAACTTGGTGGTTAGGCAGTTACAACGCTATTATTTAACAAAACCCTTTCTTTTTCATCTGTGAATGGTTATCTCTGTGGCTGGATACTAGTAACTTGTTCTGTGTTTAATCAATTACTTTACTATATAATGTCATTTAGAAATGTTTTTTTTTTCTTTGCGCAACAATTTTAACATAGTTATTTTGCCGTGGAAAATAAAATTCCATCTTACAGGAAAGAGAAAACTCCTCAAGGTCACTGATTGGCACCTTTATTTACATATTAGAACGAGTCAGCCACTGAAAATCCTAGAAAAAGAAAAGACAACATTCAGTCAAAAGAAATATTATCTTAAACTATATCCTCACTGTTTTGCTTACTCTAAAATCTACAAATCCAATTTTAACCATGTTTACCACAATGGTGGTAAATAAGGTTTGTCTTTGGTCTAGTGCTTTTCCCAAAAAGGAGGTAAAAACCCATAGTGAACCTTTTTGTCTTGTCCTATGAAACGACCTAAAATGACTTTCTGGGTCCTCTCCCATTAATAGAGTCTGAAAGAAACAGAAGTACATTCAAAAGAAGACAGGTGATAAAGATGTCCCGAAGAAGGGCAGAGCTCCCAGGTCTAAAAACCTGGGTGGGAAGGGCAGTGCACAGAAGTCTCTCCTAGGACTAACGCCGTCCTACTCATGTGGCTCTGCCATAGGTGACTGCAGAGATTAGGTCTTCCCGATTATTACAACAGGAAGCAGCCAGCCTTCAGTGTGAATCAATAACAAATAGTAGATGGACAAGACAACTGATGAAAATTAACAGCTTGGAAACTATGTGCAGAATTCTACTGGAATGGGGATAAGTAATGTCAAAGAGGTAGACGTAAGAAATATAAAAATAATCCTCATGGAATTATAAAGGAAGAGATAAGACCTTGTATTTCTGCAGGAACACTCCTAAATTCATAGAGAACATAGAGAATAAATCATTAGATGCAGATCATTAGAAGGGTGAATTCACTAGCAGAGAGAAGACAATTCATTAGGGCTTTCCTATGACTAACACAGTTCTCAATACTATCTATTTTGTGTATGTGTGTTTGGAATACAGTAGTCTACCCTTATCCAAGAGGAATACATTCCAAGACCCCCAGTGGATGCCTGAAACTGTGGATCCTACCGAACCCTATCTATACTAAGTTTTTCTTATTCATACATACCTATGATAAAGTTTAATTTATAGATTAGGCACAGTAAGAGATTAACACTAACTACAAATAAAATAGAACAATGATAACAATACACTATAATAAAAGTTATGGGAATGGCTTTGGGGCATTATTAAGTAAAATAAGAGCTACTTGAAGGCCTGTGATACTGCAGACAGCCACTCTGATAACCAAGTCAGCTACTAAGTGATTAATGGACAGGTAGCTTATATATCATGGATACTCTAGACAAAGAGATGATTCATGTCCCATGCAGGATATAGTGGGACAGAACAAGATTTCATCATGCTACTCATATATAATTTACAACTTCTGAATTGTTCGTTTCTGAAATTTTCCATTTAATATTTTCAGATTGCAGTTAACCGAGGGTAACTGAAACTATGAAAAGCAAAACTGTGGATAAGGGTGGATTACTGTACTAACTGTTGTTTTGCTAGTTCCTTGAAGTGTAAAGTAAGGTTATTTGCGATTTTTCTTGTTTTCTGAGTAGGTATCTATTGCTATAAACTTCCCTCTTAACTACTTTTTCTGCATCCCATGAGCTTTGGTATGTTGTGTTCCATTTTCATTTGTCTCAAGGTATTCTTTTATTTCTCTTTTGACTTCTTCCCTGAGCAGTTGGTTGTTTGGTAGCATGTTGTTTACTCTCTACATATTTGTGAATTTTCTTCTTGTAATTAATTTGTAGTTTCACACCATTGTGGTTGGAAAAGATGCTTAGTACGATTTCAATCTTCTTAAATTTATGAAGACTTGTTCTGTGACTTAAAATATGATCTATCCTGGAGAATGTTCCATGTGCACTGCAAAGAATGTGTATTTTGTTGCTTTTGGACAAAATGTTCTACATACATCTGTTAAGTCCATTTGGTCTAACGTGTCACTTAAGGCTAATGTTTCCTTATTGATTTTCGGATGATCTATCATTGATGTAAATGGGGTGTTAAAGTTCCCTGTGATTACTGTAATGCTGTCTATTTCTCCCTAAAGTTTGTTAATATTTGCTTTATATATTTAGGTGTTCCTATGTTCGATACCTAAATATTTACAAATATTCTATCCTATTGTTGGATTGATCTTATTATCGTTATGTAATGCCCTTTTTTGTCTTTATTACAATCTTTGTTTTAACATCTATTTTGTCTGATGTAAGTATAAATACCCCAGTTTTCTTTTGGTTTACATTTGCACGGAATATCTTTTTCTATCTCTTCACTTTCTGTATGTGTGTGTCTTTACATGTCAAGTGAGTCTCTTGTAGGAAGCGTAATGATGTGTCCTCTTTTTTGATCCCTTCAGTAACCCTACGTCTTTTGATTGGAGAATTTAGTGCACTTAACATTTAAAGTAATTATTGATAGGTATGTACTTTTTGTTGCTTTGCTAATTGTTTTCTGGCTGTTTTATATTTCCAATCTGTTCCTTTTGCAAAGTGTGAGAATTTGCTTACTGCCTTGTTTAAAAAAAAAAAATCTCACAGCAGATATGTGTATAAAGAACCATGACGAAACTAACTGAAAAAATTACCCGCTCTGAAAACAATGGCTGATACACAATTTGAAAGTATGGAGGACACGTATATAAGAGAGCAAGTGGCAGGACCAGGATCAGAGAACAAAATTAAGAATGAAAAGCAACTTAACCTGGGAAGAAAGAAGATCGTTTATTTTGTCATTATAATCTACACTATAGTTTTACTTTAGAGGCCAAAGTAACTAATTTTGAACGGAATTGCACAAGTCGTCCTATTGTAGTTTCTCTCTCACTGTGCTTCCTTCACTGTCTTCTAGCATCTTTGGCTTTCTTTCAGTTCCTCAGACTTGCCATACTGCCCCCTGCCAGAGCCTTTGCACATCTCTTCCCCTACTGCTTTGCTGAGTTTGTCCCTACTTAACCTTTGGGTCTTAGTTTAGGCATTATTTCCTCTGAGACGCCACCCCTGTGACCCCAATATAAAAGAGAGTCCTTTGCTGTATATACATTCAGAACTAGATTCCTTTCCTTCAGCACAACTGCCTCACTCTGTCATAATGCATCCAGTTGTGAGGTCACTGGGCTGTCCTCCCCTACTGTACTGTTAGCTCCGTGGGGGGGTGAAGCTGACCCTGGTTTTGCTCACCATGCTATTCTTAGCACCTGACACATCATACCTAACACATATCTCAACAAATATTTATTGAACAAATGAAAGTGCCAAACTCAGAAATGGTTTAGAAAGAACTCTCTGAACAACCCTGAGTTCTATTTGGTAGATACTTTTGGGGGTGAGAGGGGAGGTGCATTCATGCTTCTTGCTTAGCAATCGCGTTTACCTGGGCCTTCCGCGTGGCTTGTGTCTCAATCATGATGTTGATAAGAGAGGGTTTAGTTGTGTCTGCCAAGCTTTGCTTCAGGGATTCTTGAAGTTCTTCTGGTGTTTGTACAAAATACCCTTTGCCTCCAAATGCAGTCATAATCTGCTCATAATGTAAGTTTGGCAGAAAACACGATGGAGGGGCCCTGAAAAAGGAGGTCATAAGTAAATAAGAAAAAAAAGTCATCCTCTGACATAATGGGAAAAATTTAAGATAAACCGAAAGGCATACTTTTATATCCAATACTTAAACTGAGATGCCAGTAGACTAAACTGTCCATATACAGCAAAGTCCAATATAAATTTTTGTGATGATAGATAAGTTTTATATCTGTGCTATCCAATGTAATAGCCACTAGTCACCTGTTGCTGTTGAAACACGACTAGTTAAAATAAGGAAATCAATTGGTTTCACTATTGTGTTTTAAAAATTTTATCAGAGTATAGCAGGCATGTATTAGTTTCATGTATAAAACACAATGATTTGACATTTATGTACCTTATGATGTGATCACCATGATATATCTGTTAACCATCTGTCATTGTGCAAAGTTATTACACTATTACTGATAAAATTCCCTGTGCTATACATTACATCCTAATGTATGTAAATAATAAATATATATAATACATATAATATATATTATTAAAATAAATTATAAAAGGAATGGTTAATGAAAAACAGCAAAAAAAAACAAAACAAAAAATGAAGTCACTGAGGCATACCCACACCCTGCTCCACCCCCAGGCTGACTCACAAATTCACATCTCTCTCACACCACACAGCCAGTTACAACACCATCTCAGTCTGGCTGTGCCATCAGATGATCAAGATTTAGATAAGTAGTAAAAGGAAGGAAGACCTCTAGATATAAACATGTATTCCTACATGGTGTAATAGGAATAGCAGGACTGGGAGCATTTTCCAATAAGCTCTTTCATTAACAAGGCTTAGCAAACTCATTCGTCTGAGTCTTCAGTGGCTCCCGGATCATAAACTATTTACTGAAGTGCCCAATCATGGATGGTTGTGCAAAGAGGAATCATACAGACAAGATTCCTGCCCTTTAGAGGGGCTGACAACATAAATAAGCAATACTCACATCATGGAAGCACATCTCAATACAGCTGACTTTTTAAAGAGATTTAAATAGATGAGAGAAAGGAAATACACATTATTCTGGGTTACTTACACTACAGTAGTATCTCCAACATTTAACATTTCGTTCCAAGTATCTGCATCAAGACCTTGGTAAATTCCATTATTATTCACCACCAAAAGTACAATTGGCAAGTTGTACCTAAAATTGACAGCAAAATATAAAGGAAATCATTCTTTGTTCTAAAGCAATTTATTTTCTTTGGGCTGAAATTTTAACTTAAAAATGGATGGCTTTCTCTAAACTTTTTTTGTAATATTAGGGTAAGACTAAAAACTAAGCATTTGTTATCCTAATAAAAGAATATCAAATCATTCACAGAAATACCATGGACTAGTAGGAAGAATACAAGATTAGGGGTTTGTACACCAGGTTCTCCTACTACTATACAGCTATGAACCTTGGGCAAATTACTGAGTCTCGGTTTTCAAAGGTTCCGGTATTAATAAGAATGACACCTTCCATACTTAATACTCTCTGAAGCCCCACTTCGACACGGTGCCTCGAAGTACTTTTAGAAATGTATCTATTTACTGAATTCCTCATAGACAACCAGCACTTTCTAGATGCTGTGGGATGTATACAAGCGACTAGCAAACATTCTCCCCTCCCAAATCATTTCCCTCATAATTAGAAAAGCATTACCTGCTGTAATAATTGGAGAAAGAGAGAGTATTTAACAATGTGCTAAACAGTATGGGTATGGTAAAGACCAAAAAAAGGCTGATCAAACTTTACTAAAGACTGACAAAAGAACATGGGCTTTATTTTCTACAGACATAATTTCTGAGATGAGTTGTAAAAACAAAAACTAAACTGCATACTGTTATGTAACTGGATTGTGGCAACTATTTGCTCTCCATGCTCAAAGGGAAAGGCTTCACTCTCTTGAAGGTTGCCTTCCCCCTAAATGACCTTTTATGTGTATATTACTTGGTTGTCAACACAGACACTCTTAACCGGCACATACTTTCCCTCCGATCTGGTAAGTTTTATATACTAAAGCTTTGAAAGCCCCGAAATATGATTTCCAAAAGCCCTAATAAGAGCCCTGGCTAAGAACAGAATGCTTTCCTAATTTAAATAATCAGGGAGAAAAAAAACCCATACTTCTATAGTAAGAGCTACAACTTACTGAGTTTTCCCATGAATCCACACAACTATAAACATAATCTGAATAGCTCACTTCACAGAGCGGTCACCTCGAGCTTTACCTAGATGATCTATCTCATTTGTTCTTCACGATCATCTTCTAAGGTAGAAACTACTATTATTCCTCCTCCTATTCCAGAGGAGACTGAAGCTTAGTTAAATTGCTTAACCCAAGTCACTTGGCTTTGTGGTCAAGTCAGTATTTAAATTCAAGCCATCTGACCCACAGGCCGTCTTTTAACCACAAGCTCTGCTGGCTCCCTGCAGAAAACAAGCTTTTCTCAGACAGAACTTTTTTTTCAACGACCTTAAAACCACACCCAATAGTTGTACAGGTTTTTGGCACGCAGTAAAGAAATCATGAACACACTGTCTTGGATGAGAAAGACCCCCAGCGTTATTTATACTAATATTCTCAGGACACAGCCCAGTGCTGTCACCTGGCACATGATTAACATTTGGTAAGCGTTTCTTAGGCAGGTGAGGCTTGTGTATAATTTTCCATATCTTGGAGAAAGAAATACTCTGAGTCAGGGTGCCGTATTACCTGCAGATGGTTTCCACTTCCATGCCAGAAAACCCAAATGCGCTGTCTCCTTCCACACAGATGACCCGCTGTCCTAGGTGTCTATCTTTAACCACTATTGCAGCAGCAATGGCAAATCCTAAACCAACTCCCATTGTTCCAAAAGTACCAGCATCAAGCCTATTGGGGGAATAAAGCTAAAATGAAACCCTCTGGGGCATGTCACAGGTGGTAGAGTTGGCAGAAATCTAGATGTATTCACATGGTTCATAAAAAAATAAAGAACAGTAAAAACATTCTCTTTCTTTTAATAAAGTTTTAGTCTGTGAAGAACTAATCTGTCAAAGATCAGCAGAATAAGAAGAAAAAGTCACTTGTGATTGCTTGAAAGACTGAGAATATATTCTTAGAGCACTGAGTATACAAATTATCACATGATGTCGAGGACCTACGAAGCATAAAAACTCTACAAAACCTCACTTAAGAATACTCTCATGACCTATACACTGTTCAGACTTTATACACTGAACTCATATAATTCTCAAATACTTTATTAATTTGCACTATTGTTTCAAATTTAACACATAATTCATCATAATTTCTTTTTTGGAAGACTTACCTGTGACGAGGAAGGTAGTTTTCAAGCACAGTGCGTCCAATATCCATAGTATTTGCTCCTTCACTCACCACAATACAGTCTCTGGGTAGTTGTTCTTGAACACAGAAGAATACTGTGTAATAATTCATAAGCGGGGATTTTTTGGAAGCTAATTCCTAAAATATTAGAGAGAAAAATAATCAAATTAGATTGAAATATAATAAAAATAAACACTGCCAATAAGCTACTATCAAACTTATTTGGAAACAGGTAACAACTAAAAACTATGAGGTTCCCAAATGACCACCAATCACTACTCTGAGAAGCTAACTAATCTATGAACAGTCCTGGGGGACATGCTAAGAAAAATGGGTCCCACACTCCCAATTTGGGACACAATCAAATAAGCCAGGGAATATCCCTCTTCCTGAAGATCCATATTAACATGTTAAAGACTGAGAAGTCCTATAGTAAAAACGGCTGGAAACACTGTTAAACAGAACTAAACAGTCCTATTTGAGCACTTTTAGGGGAAACACTGCCTTAGAAAAAGTGAACATTTTATTCTAGGATATTTTCATCTGAAGTATGGCTCTAAGTTTAAATAAAAATGAAGTCAGAATTACAGTGGAAAGTTAAAGAGATTTGCTTCAGCCACTATTCTAGAGTCTGAACTGAAGAAAGCCACGTGGGGCTGTCCCAGCATCGCTTCACCTGTCCTACTTCGGCCCATCAGAGATTACACCCCAGACGGATGAGCAGCCCTCCTATACTCTTGCACCAGAGACGAGAGGCAACTTCCTTCCATCTTAAACTAAGGCGATTCCTAGAGAAAAGAAGGAATTAATCATACCCCTAAGGAAATAGAAGTGAGACTGGCTCTTGCTAAGAGAAACAGTCACTGATTAAAATTCCAAGGAAAGACAGACTCGTGTATAATTAATTCTGCTTGTTTTGAAAATGGGAATTTATTCCAAGATGGCTGCTATATTAGGGAACGATATGAGCATAACTCGAATTTCATATTTGCTCATGCATCATTCCATCCATGAGAAATACATGAACACAGAAGACTACACTCAGCTGAACCAAAATGCATAGAAACACATAAAACAAGGTCAGGAATGACCTTTCTCACATTCAGAGAGAAAACACTATCGATATACAAAGACTTTAAACAGAAAACGCCAAATCTTGCAGCAGTGGCTCATTTTAATGCTAGTAGTGGATGGTTTGGTGGTCTTATACATTACTACAATTTCTAAAGCCTTCAGGTATCAGGCAAAGCCACAAGTAAGATGAGGAAGTCATAAAAGAATTTTCAGTAAAAACAAATTGAATTAAGAAAGCTATAAATGTTCTCACCAAAAAAAAAAGGAGAGAGAGAGAGAGAAATGTGAACTAGATAGGGCAACTACCTTTACAATGTATGTGTTTATCAAACCACCATGATGTACCTTTAAATATCTTTCAATTTTATATGTCAAACATACCTCAATAAAGCTAAAATTTTTTTTAAAGAAAAAAGGCTATACATTAGATCAAAATTTCAATTTTGATGAAGCATCTATCTATTACAAATAAATGCCTTGAAGGACTTATCTTAAAGGTAGAAAAATATGCCCCAACATACCCCAGGACTTAAGGCTCCAAAAGACCATAACTGTATTTTGGTGCCAAGGTCAAACTGAAGATAGTATGTCACATCCATCAACATACGCTCTTACAACTTTCTGTCCAATGTCAGATTGCCCTCCTTCTACCACAGTAACTTCCAAACTGTACCCCTTCCAATGCCCACTTCCACAGGAAACTTCAAGCCTCTTTCAAGGTAAAGTGTCATGTGTACAGAACTGCGTAAGACTTTGCCACCATTTTTGTTAGTCTCCTACCTTAATGTTTCACAAAGTTGTTGACAGCTTTCCCCCCTAAATCTTTTTCCCCATGAGCCCAGTGGGTTTTACTGCATGATTTTGCATGGCGTGATTTCTAAGAATGCATATGCCATGTCATAACAGAACTGAACCGTGAACCTGAAGCGTTCTTGAGTTTCAGTGGGTCCCATATTACCTTGGATGCAGCTTCATTGCTCTTCATCTTTTCTCTCAGAGTTTTCCACCACTGGCTCTCTGGAGGATACTGCCACGGTGTTTTATCAAATTGTTCTAAAAGCTAAAAAACCACAAACATTTTCTTTCCTTCTTGAAAATAAACAAATCGTATTAACATAAAAATCTCTCCTTAAAGACACACATTATCCTGTCCTTCACATCACTCACACTCTTTGTTTTTCCTCTAGGCAGCAAACAACTGATAGAAGATAAATAGGTAACAGGGCAAGTTTTTGTTTGGGTCAGTGCGGACTTCGGCCAGATCCTGGGATTCCCAAAGGCAGAGCAAAGTACTCCCTACTCCTCACCTCACTGGCTGAGGCTCTTAAGCCCTTCTCCGTCTTTGACACTAAAAGGAAAACTACCCCCTCCATAGAACCCTTACAGGAAGGCGAACAGCCCCAAACACCAAGGGACTTCCAACATACAGATCAAATGTTTCAGAGTGTTTTAATGTGACTGGAGATTGCATCCTAATGTTGTATAATCATGATAACAATACCAATCTGTATGCAAAATCAAGTGATAAATGTGCCTATATTTTATCTCTTGTCACAGTGAAATATATAAATTATGTACAATTATAAGAATCTCAATAAATCACTGATTACAGTTCTGAAGAGTAAAAATCTCTCTAATACCTGAAGAAATCCTAAATTAGATTTTTTCCAGTACATAAAGCCACTCCTTGGTTGTAAGTTCAGTGCCTCTGGAAGCTATATTATAATTTTTCAGATAGCTGAATCCTACTTAATAAATCACTGTTTGCCTACTGAATGCCTTTAAATTTTCAATTGCCTTCCAAAAATGTTTAACTTACATAAAAATGATCTATATACAAGAAGTTAGATTTACCAAGTTCCAAAGTTATATTTAAGAATAGCCTAAGTTTTGTTTAAAATAGATGTTATCAGACCTGTCACCAAGTGAATCACGATTGAAACATTTTAAAGAACTATTCTCTAAAGACCAATCCACATAAATTAAAACCCAGGCAAAAGCTCTTACCTGTTTCGTGACAGCATTTATGTCTCCTAGCAAAGTCACAGAAGGTCTCACATTATTCCCCAATTCTTCTGCACAGATATCGATCTAAAAAAGAGACAAGACTGAAGAGCAAGCCATGTTTATTCTTAAATTCTTTAATTCAATTAAAGTTGAATAAATAAACTATGTGCATATAACATGATAAATATTTGATATTTAAGAAGTTCCTTAATAAAAGTAAAAATCCATGGAATTATGAGTAATACAGCTAGTACAAAAACGTCATCATTCTCCCCCATTTTAAAATCTATTCTGTAAAATTTTGGTAGTGTTCCATTATACCCAAAGGAACCCATCTGACTTGATCGATTATATTTTTGAATCTAACCAATAATAAGGTTCTATTTAATTACCCTGGAATTCCTATTTAGAGCAGAATTTTTCAAATTTGAGCATATATCAGAATCATCCAGTAGGCTTGTTAAAACTGTAGACTGCAAGAGTCCACCTCAGAGTTTCTGATCTCAACAGGTCTGGGGTAGGGCCCCAAAATATCCATGTCTTAACAAGTTTCCCAGGCAGTGCTGATGCTGCTAGTCCAGGAACCATATTTGAGAACCACTCCTAGGGCATGTCATGATTACTTCCCCTGTACTCAAAAGCTCCATTTCTGGATGGACATGGGCAAGTGAAAAGGGCATCTGTTAAGAGGAGTAATTTAGCCACCTCAAAGTGGCTGCACTTTATTTTGGAACCAAGAGGGACAAAGAAGTGGCAGCGTCTTCCAGGTACAACCCAGGTCATGCTTGTTTTTGGTTTTAGCTCTGAATGTCCCCAGGGGAAAGGAATTATTAGAGGTTAACTCCTTAAATAAAAACATAAATAAGAGAAAACAGCAATTGTACCTAGATCATCAAATACCATACAAAGTCTGTGTAGGTCAAACAGGTTTCCGTGCCACTATGTAGGCAGGACTTTCCACACCAGTGAAGAAACTGGCTCATAAAGAGGATCATAACGATACAAGAGCCCTCAAAAGGAAGTCGGAGAATATCCCAAACACCGTTTAGTGACACAGGTAAAAGCAGCATTGTTTAGAGATTTCCAACCAAAGGGTGTTTAAAAGTTTTGGCATATAAAAGAACAACTCAATCCCTAACAATGCTCAATGCTTTGTTTTCAGCTACCATCCTACCTAAACCTCTTTTGTCTACTTTTCAATATACTTAAACTATAAAGAAGAGGCAAATTATGCTTTTCAAACTATTTAAAACTTGATTTTGAAAGGTTTTCTGATTAGCGGCACATTATGTTTCACAGGCTTGAAAAGGCAGCTTACTTTGGTACCTGTAATTATGTTAGACAATTTATAAAATTCTACTTTTGTAAAAAGATAATGATTCGCTATAAAAGCCAAGGAGAAAGCAGAGCTGGTAATGGCTGAGAGGGAGAACAATAAACTATAGATAGCTCTGATTTAAAAGCTCTCTCTTCTCTAGGTACCTGGATAAACTTCACATCTGGCCGATACCTCGGAGGGAGTCCAAAATGCAAAATCCAATTTAATCTTGCACCAAATAACACGATTACATCAGCAAATTGCAAAGCCCTGTTAAAAAGAAAAATAGGATGTAACACAAAAAATATATCTATATTTTTAATTTGGATTATTCTAAAATTAATTTCTAAAGTATTTGGAAAAGTCTAAATAATTTGGAACTTCATTACATTAATCTTCAGAATCAGATGAATTTGATGGTAGGTAAATCTGATCTTTCAAACTAAAATAATTTATGATGCCATTTTATTTAAATAGTAATATAAAAGATGAAATAAGTAGAAAAATATTACCATAGGACTACATCTACACTGTTTCATTTATTACTTTATTATCATTAGAAAAATTACTACAAGTCCACCATAGATAATCTGGAAAAAGCAGAAAAAGTATAAAGAAAAAACCAAAAGCACCCAATAGTACTATCAACTTATAAACTATTATTAATATCCTGGCATATTTTCATCTAGTCTTTTTTTCTATGCTAGTATATTTTTACACAGTTGAACTCATACAATACTGCCTCATGCACTTGTGCTTATCATACATGTTTTCCTTTGTCATTAAGTTCTTTTTCAATACAATTAAAGGCTATGCATTTGGCTGAATGCACACATTAAATTTATTTAACCTTTTCTCAATTGCTGGATTTTTTTGCTATTAACAGTATTGGATTGCACATGTTTATGCTTGAATCTTAATACACACTTCATATTGATTTCTACAAGCAGATATTTTTAAGAGGACTGATTCCTATTTCTGAATTGCTTTAAAAAAATACTACACCCAGTATATTTCTAATAGTTTTCTTTTATAGATCTTAATATTTTTGTCATAACTTCTAATTTTTTAATGATTTTTATTTTGATATCCATACTGATATTAACACAGATGCTCTTGCTTTCTTTTTGTGTACCTCACACATCTTTGCTAGTTTTTAAGCTGTATCATTTTGTTTCAGATGTGACTTTTATAGTGCGTGTTAACTGTCATTAGTGACTCAATCTAAATGTCTCTGCCTTTTTTTCAGGAGAATTTATTATCATAATTGCTGTGGGTTGTTTTTTATTTCCCCCCTCACTTTTCTGCTTCTTAGCTGTTTCTTTTTTTCCTATCTTTTGTCATAGAGGATCTGTTTTTTCGGTTTTGTCTTCTTCAATAGTGTACCCTATTCTTCACAGACATTCAGTTATCATTTCAAGTATATACTCAAAAAAGCTATCTTCGTATACTGTATTGGTCCTGTGGGACCCAATTTAACAGATAAAACAATGATAGTTTTTAACAGATAAAAACTATCTGTTAAAAACTATCATCGGAAGGATAGATTTGCTTGTAGATACCCTAAAATCCTTGAAATTATTGATTCAATTATTGCCTCTTGCAATCTTTTTTATACTATTAATGTCATTAATATTATCTCTTAAAATTCAGCTGGAACAAAGATAAACGTCAGCTCGACCCATGTTATATATTTTTTAGAAAGTGTAAGAATTAAATTGGTTTCTGTACAATATATACTAATATAAAAAAAAAGGTGTAATCTATTCAGATAGCATTAAATGAGCAACAAAGATTGCATAGCAAACATTACATTTTAAAAACCCTCAAAATTAATTTTATGTGTGCATGACAATATGAAAGATACCAAATGCATAACGCTGGTAAACAGTGGAGAGGGAGTGACTGGAATCAGGAAAGATATCCTGGGGACTATAGTGAATTTTTGTTTCCTAAAAAAAACACAAAAACCCTGAAGCAATGACATATTACTTAATATTATGTTACAGATGATAAAACTGAGTGGTAGTTACATAAATGTTCATTAAATTATTCTCTCTTATTTGTATATTGAGAATATTTCATAATAAATTTCAAGAAATTAAAAGAAAAAAATACATGGTTCGTCAAAAAGTGTGTTTTAAAAACTGAAAAAGAGGACATGTCCAGTGCCAGCCATGATTGGGTAAGCCCACTACAGCCTAGCTCGCCACTGAAATAGAAAAAAAAACAACTACCTGCGAATTCAGAAAAGTAAACAACAGTGGGTGGTTTGGAAGGGAAGTCGAAGAAGTGACCCGCTCAGGGGATGAGTTTCCAAGGTTTTGTCCCCTCATCTATCTCCTCTCCTGGCTTTGACTCGGGGCAGCCCTACCTGCAGAACTGGAGGCCAGCAAATACCTTGAGAGAAACCCTGTCTTTTTGGCCAAAGATTCAGGAAAATGGACTCCGGCAAGCAAGAGAGCACAACGGAAAAGCTCGGGATTGTCTTTTTCTCTTCCTCTCTCTCCCAGCAGTGCTCCGAGGGCAGCCCTGTTACACAGCAGCATTGCAGTAACTCTCAAACAGATGAAATTCCAAGAAAAACATTTTTTCCAACAAGAAGAACTGAGCAAAGGGTCCCCTGTTGTCTGAAGAGTATGGGGGCAAACCACTTATTTTTTATCTTTCCTTTTTTACTGCCACCTTACCTCAAAGGCAGCCCCTGTTGTGCAGTATAATAAAGCAGCAGCAGGGGCCAGGAAAAGGGACTCTTGGAAATCAGAAGGGGAATGGGAGCTATATTTTAAAGGGAAAAGAAATCCCTAACTCTAGATATGAACCAGCACATGTCTGAGGCTATCCCTTGGTTGGGCATATGTGGACAGACCAGAATTGTATAGCAAAGGCTTTGAAACCGATGTGGTCCTGGAACGTCTGCTCACAGGAAGACAGAACTTGCAATCTGAACCTAAACAGGCTAACTGCTTGCTAAAACAAACAAACAAAATAAACATTCCACAGGGTATGTCAATACGACCCGGTATTTCACAACATAGTATTCAACATTCCAGGATACGATCCAAAATTACTCAATACACAAAGAACCAGAAAAATGTGACCAATTCTCAAAAGAAAAGATAATGAATAGATGCTAATTCTACGATGACCCAGGTGTTAGAATTACTAAAAAAGACTTTAAAGCAGCCATTATAACTATGTTCCATAAGATAAACAAAAATACTCTGGAAATAAATGGGAAGATAGAAGTTCTCAGTAGAGAAACAAAATATAAGAAACAAAAGGATTAAAAAGAATTGAACAGGTATTCAGGGACCTATGGGATAATGTTTGTGT